TCATTTACCCTTTTCCAGGCCCGGAACTGCAGTTAGGCATTTCGTTTGCCCTCCTGATGGTATCTGTACCTGATTTAGCTCTTATTTCAACAACTACCACTAAATGAAATAACATAATGTAATTAACAACTTTACTCATTTTATTTACTAAAATAGCAGATAAATTAGGTTCGGACAAACGAGCTTCGCACAATCGGAGCCGTCTCTCTCTGAACCCCTGCAATACACCGCACAATCTTTTGAAAATGAGTTTACCCTTTGGCTCCACTGGTACGTTTATCTGTTTCAAAATTAAAAGTGAGTTCCCAACCAGCAAGTACTAGCAGAAAAAAAATACTTAGCTCTACTTGAGTATCACTTACAACCATGGTCTTAGATTTCTTATGCATTGGGAATAAATATTGCCTAATCTGTTCTTTGGCTTGCTGTGAAAAAAGGCATTCAGCCAGACTCATTTCTGTCTTGTCTCTTCCTTGTCATCATTTAAAGATTTTAAAAATAGGTGTACAGAGGTACTCTTTAGTATTATGTCACAAGCAGAAAGGGTATTCTGGAACTCCCAGAAAATGTTGTTCTATCACCCTTCTCACATATTGACCGCTTGGGCCACTTGTAGGAAATCCGTAATACCCCTCCAGGCTTCTAGAGGAGTCACAGGAAAGACCCCCAAAAGATCCTTGCGAATCAGGTACTCTATTCTAAGCCAGGGGTTTCAGAATCAGGTGCAGCTCAGAATCAAATAAATACCATATGTTGAAATAGCTGTGAATTCTATTCACAGCTCAGTTATTTATCCACATAGACGTTTCTCAAGCGAGTTTTATCTATTATGAGGACTAACTAACACCAAGAAGCAGGAAAATATTGGAAAAATTTCTGTTGAGTAAAAAATGCACCACACGACAATTTTAATAAATATTAAAAAAAAAACAGGTGTAGAATGCTGATCAGTTTAGAGAAAAATACAGCTTAGACCAGTGAGGAGACGAAACCTTCTACAGGAATGAGAAATCTTTGTTTGCCATGGTGGTTAACAAAAGCAAAGCTCACTGAGATAGAATAAAGTCCTGAGTTATTGTTTCGAAGGACTTTCAGGAAGATTTTTGACTATTGATGCAACTTAGTGTGACTTCAGACCTAGTAGTGATTTCAAAAGTTTAGCAATGATGTGGAAGGGAGGTTTGCTGGAGACATGTTTACAAACACTTGTCACACCACCATGACTAAATCATAGAAATTATTATTTTCTAGGCTTAGCAGAAAATTTGAGAATTCATTTCCCACAAAAGAGAGAGGTCCAAGGATAACTAATAAAAGAAGTGGTTCTGTAATGAGTTTGGAACTTCATCAATTTCCGTAAATTAATTATTTTTTAATGAACCGCAACTGACATAAGGATCTAAAAGACACGGCACGTTTAAAGGTTTAAGATTTAAAGGATTTCTTAGCATAGCTCTTAAGATGAAAGATACATCCAGTATAAAAATAATAACTAACTATGGAAAAATGTTGAAAAACAAGATACACATAATGATACCATTATTAGCTGTGCGGTGGTTTGAACAACATTTTGACACAGTTTTCTGTCACTCAACAAGACGAAGCAAGTCAGGAATTTGGAAACAAAACCATGATTTAGCATTTAAAAATTGTAAAAATCATAACTATTACCCAAGAACTAATTTAAATGCTATAAGAACTGAGTTGAAAAGGATGAGAGGAACTGGAAAAAAAATACAAATTTGGATTAGTACGCATAAATCAACAAGAGGAGGAATAGTGTTTTGACAGGTGTTGCACTTGCCTCTCACAACTGTTCTTATTGATCTAACCAGATTTAGAAGCTTGGCTGTAACTGTTGGTTGCTCTCCAAAGCCCTGCACTTGAGCATTAGCACCCCAACCCACTGTCAATCAAAAGAAACGAATTAATGGTAGATTCTGAACTGGCACTCTGGTTTCATAACCTGATCTGCAAAATCATGAGCTCATTCGGCTTTCAGGTATGTTCCATGCATAATGACACTAATGCAAATTAACGTACTCCGCTTCATGAACCTTTCTTCGTGAAGAACACAGATAGCATTTAGGATCAAAACTATAGCTTCAATTAGATGCATTAATGTGAAAGACATTGTGGAGCTGTCTTTGGTGACGGTGACGGAGGATTGTTGTTGTTATGTACAGAGCATCAACTGTAAATAGAGGCTGTCTGGTCTACGCTTTACTGTAAATAGTATGTTATGTAAGCATCTGAGAGACTGTGACTTCACGTTCCTCTTCCACTTAATTCCTCCCTAAAACTTGCTAATTACAGCAGAAATGCATTTATCTTAAGGTTTCCAGTCTCAGAGTCATTGCTAGGCCAGGGCCAGGCCGGCAAATTTAAATAGCGTATATCGTGAATAAACAAAAACAGCGGAGAGAGCGCGTCCGCCCGTTTGGTGCTTGCAAGGCTACAAGAGTTTGCGTATGAGAAATAAAGGACACGGAAATCTTCCCGCTCCCGCGGTCGTCGCATTTATTTAAAAGGCCGGTAGACCTGTCATTTGATGATAAGACTTTTCTCAAGGATAAGACATGAGATTCTCACGGATAAGACCTACAGTGCATGGAAATTAACGATGCAGAAAATGCGGAAATGCTCGTTTTGAATGAGCTTCATTTGGTCGGAATTTCTTTGTGACTTGTTCCGCGGGCAGCGCCGAAGACCTTCCTTCAACTTCAACGAGGGTTTTAACGACTGCTTGTTCATAGCGAACTGGAGCGGGCGTGAAACGTAGCTAATAACGAAGATTTTTGTGTTTGGAATGGGTTTGAAAGCACTACGCTTCCTGCAGCCAAATTGCGTTTTTACACAATATCAGGAGGGAGAGGGGCTATAGGTAAGATAGACAACCAAATATGGCTTTTAAACTGAGTTTTTCTTTATATTTATTTATTTTTTTCACCTTTTTTTCTTTTTTGTTTATAGATACAAACATCTTGATTACAATCAGTGCTAAGTAGACACTGGTTACAAGAAACTAATCGACAGAACTACACTGCATCCTTACATCAATTCTGTTCTTCTACAGAAACTAAAGGCACATCAAATTGCAATAACACAGCCTTCCCTGGTTTTATCCTAAATTTGATTCATAAAATGGTTTTAATGATTTGCTCAATGTCCCAGACAGATACGAAGAGAATTTCACTGTTTGCCTCACAATTTTTTTTACCAATTATAGCAGACAATCATTAGTTGGCAATTGTATTCAGTGATCTTCAAACAAGATAAAATAAAATTCTTTTCTCTGTAAAAAGAAACTAAACATATTTCTACTGGAAGTGTGTCGATAGATAAGACAGGTAAAATACTTGCGTTCGAAGAGAACAGTGGAGTTTTGATTCTATTATTTATTAAAACTTCATACATCTACAAAACTACGTCTGAAGACTTAACAGATTAGAGTAAGAAGGCAGTGATGTAAAAATTTGTACAAAAGTATATTTTATAGAGTAGATTTATACAAAAGAAGGCAACAATAAGAGTGAGGATGACACTCTAAACTATGTGAATAAACATGCACATTTAATTAAGTACAGCAATTAATTCAATTAAAAAGACCCATCTGTAATGAACGACGAATGAGAGTACATTTGAAAGGTAAGTGACTTATCAAGAGATTAATTCATTGAGACTACAATTCTCTTACAAACAAATGATTGTTTAAGTTACTTCAGAAGGATAATTTTTGTGCAAAGCCACAAAAGAATACTAATTAATACCCCCCAAAAACTGTACTCTCAAAATAACCAACAAATTTTTTAACGATTGCCTGGTAACACATAAAAATTTTAACAGATTTTTTTTTCATATTTTTTTTTGGTAACTGATTCCTAGAGTAGTAGTAGCTATCACAGATATGAAAGTTACCAATCTAACTGTTAGTAAAATGTTGTCAAAGTATGGATACGACATTGATTGACACCAGATATAATAAAAATGCCTCTCATGTAAGACTTCTGAAACCCAAATGTCTCCAGCTGTTTTGAAATAGACCCTTCTTCAGTGTTCGGTCATTTCATCAAATGACCTGACAGAAAGCACAGTTACAGACTTCATATACAGTAAAACCCAGCACACACTTTAATAAATTTGAGTTAATCGAAAAAAAAATGGAGTGAAAGGAAACTGAATACTGCAATTTATTTCCAAGACCTAATGAAGAGCAAAACTCTACAAAAATGACCATAGCAGTCGACACCAACCAAGTATGTAGCAAATTGTCTTAATGATTGAAAACAACATTAAACAGCATCATAGATGGGTCTTCATTTTAAGTTAGAATTGTAGCAAATTCAAGGTTTAAGCACACGAGACAAGGCTAAAGATGAAAATCTACTAAACCAGTCAATTTTCACAATGATTCACTCTCACCTTTCTCCAGAAAATTAACAAGCCCAACCATCAATGCAAATCCATTTAAAAAGAAACTGACCAGTTGCTAGTATAGGATAGTTTGAAGGTACTACAAGGGAGATAAAGCAACAGCTGCTGTGGTGGCAAGGTGAAAAGAAGAAGTGTTCATCTTTTTTAGCACTCTTGGCAGGAGACTGTTCCATCTCTCCTTCAAATTCAATAAATGACACAGAAATTTACAGATGAAAAGCACTGAATAGCACTTGCAGGGAAAAACTATCAGTAATATAAGTTCACACAAATACATTGCAATTTTTGAAATGTTAGTGGACATAAAAAACACTACTCTGAGGAGAGTAGAATTCACAAAAGTAAAAATAGTAAGCCCCAGAAAGTAGTACATGAGATAGATATCAAGACATGCTCAACAGGAGAAGAAATGACTGAAGAATTTCTTTCAGACTGAAAAGTAATCTACTTTAACCTATGTCACAGACCTTGTGTAGTTAATGCTCAAGGCCTTGAGTGTAGCTTAATGAAGTAAGCACAGCCGTACTGGACGATATTGTACTTTACATGTACCTAGATATTTATTGAGGACAATGCATATGAGAAGTGATATTCAATCTGGTGTGTCTGTATTCCATCTACTTACAATCACAAAGAAAGTCTGCACAGCCAAGTATTACATTTATGAGTTTATGACTGACTACATTTAACATGATCCTACACAAGTTTATTTGATATTAATCAAATATAGAACTGTACAAAAAATGTATAACTACTGGCAAGATCATACATTAAGTATTATTAGCTTAATATAAATTATCGTATTAAGAATGATTGTTTGGAGAAACACGAAGTGGAGCATATAAATCCAAATCATCAGTTCCAAGAAGACTTTAAAAAGAACTACAAGGGTATTTCTAATACAGAGCTGAAAAGTACCAATCCCTTATTACAACCACAACATTTTTATGGCTCCAATAACGGCTCAGCTAAAAAAATGAAATTTTAGAACAGGGCTGTGTGTTTTAAAATGGTATCTGTGCACAGTTTAAACTGTGTACATTCAGAAGAGTACTTCCTTTCTTGGAAGTATCAATCAATGAATGCTATGTCAACGAGACCAAGTAAAACAATCAGTACAGAAGTTCTATAGGAATCACTTTACATACAACTGATTATCAATCTTCAAGAAAAAGCCACCTGTGCCCAAACAGCTTTACAAACCAGTAGAATAAGCTTAATATGACACATCTTAATTGAGAAACTACAAAAATAGTTGTCAGTAAACTAAAATCAACACATATGAATGTCATGTCAAACTAAAATACAAATCAATTTTTACAAATCTCACTTCAGTGACATGAATGTGGCGGATTAAATTAATTCTGCAACAACTTTGTTACAATTTTCAAGTGAAGCATCAAATCATAACAAAATATATACTTAGACTCCTTTGAGTAGGGTTGGTTTAAAAGAAACAATGTGCACAGTACAATACTATTGAGGAAAATAAAACAACGTATATGAGAAGGTATTTTATACAGAGCACTATGCATCCTACTCAAATGAAAACTGTGCCACTGACATGACAGTCTAAGTGAAAAAACAACACATTTTACTGGTAACCTTTGAACGACAGCAAATTACAACATATCATATATTTGATGCGCTGTCAGAACATGGTTACCGCTACCAATCAAGCTCTCCATCCCACTCAAAATGTACCAAAGAAACAACACGGCTGTTTCTAAGTGATAGCAGTCCCCAGGCTCTGGCCTGCTAATGCATTTGGCCCGCTTTATTTAGCGCTGTCCCCGCGCCCCGCCTCCTTCCAGGTGAAGTCTTCTCAGGTGAGGCAGGCAGGACGCCACTGTTAGGCCCCAGGTCCTTAAGCCCCCCGGGTTCAGGTGCTCCAGGTCTTTAGGGCGAGGGCGCCGACTCGGACGATCCCTCCGACAGGGACAGCGTCCCCTCGCTCGAGTTGACAGACGACGCTTTGGTGGGCGCCCGACGCTGTCTCAGGACCGAGGGGTCGAAGTTGGGGTGCCGCCTGGCGTGTTTACTGCAAGGGGAGAGACGAGACGGTCATTACTTTGAAGACGGGTAGCAGGGCGCTCGGCCCACACTGTAGCGCAGCGCCAGCGGCAGCGGCAACGCGGCGCGAAACACCAAAGTTTTCAACAATTTCGACCCTTACCTTAAGTGGTCACTCCTCATGAACTTTTTGTCGCAGACTGGGCACGCAAAGTTCTTCTCCCCAGTGTGAGTTCGAGTGTGTCTGGCGAGCTCGTCGGAACGTGCAAATCTCTTTCCACAGCCGGCCCAACTGCATCCAAACGGCCGTTCACCTGCAACCAAAAAACACACAAGATGGATTAGTTTCAGCAATAAGCGACGGAGATGAGCGACACGAGACACACACTAGGCCGCCCGTAAACGCGAAGGTGGACGGCACCATTTGCCCGACAGTTAGAATCCCACGACGGCTTTGGAAGCGGCGAGGCAGGGCTGGGCGGGCGGGTTGGGCTGCCACATCCTGCTCAGTGACACATTCAGGGACCGCAGGCGGGGCCCGCGGGGCGGGGCGGGGCAGGGAGCAGGGCAGGACGCAGTTGTGTGCACAGTTGCTGCTGCCGTCGCCACCTTGACTACGCAGCATGCCCGCTGCCCTGGGGCGCTGCCAAGCTGTCCATGGGCGTAACGCAGCCTGTCCAAATTTTTAACCGGCGCCGGCCAAGTGAAGGTGGTGGTGGTGAAGGCGCTCTCGTCGGGCCCCTCGTAGGTTCCGCCTAGTCGGAGGCCAGACGGACAGGGGGCAGCGGCACCGGGAGGCCACCCCGGCGGCCGGGAGGCAGAAGCGAGGCTGTGGACTTCCCTTCCGCCCCCGGTTTTATTTGCAGGCGCAGGTCACGCCGCGGTCGCAGCCCCCGGTCCGACCCGGCCGCCAAATTCAGTGCAGCGAAGCGCGTGTTCTCTGGGCCCGGCCCCGGCGGCCTGGCCCGCGAGCCCTGGGTGATCAAGCCGGGCCCCGGCGGTCTTTCTTTTCGCGGCCGCGGCGTGACGCGCCAAACGCGACGCGACGCGGCGAGTCCTTGGCGCCCCCCGCCGCGCCCCGCCGCGCAGCGCCCGCGCGCGAGCCTCACCGGCCTTGGCGCGGAAGCTACTACTATAAGTCGGAGGTCGCGCCGACACGGTGGGGGCCGCGGGCGGGGGACCGCGGGGAGGCAGGGACGAGCAGGGGGGGGACCAAGGCCTTTTCTTACGCGTGGTTTATCTACCAGGAAATGTTGGCCCCGATAGCGCGCCCGGACGCCGGGGCCCGCCAGGCCGCCAGGGCCGCGCCGACTGTGCGCCCGCCCGGCCCAGGCCCACCGCGTGTCCCACCACGTGGTGACCGCGCACCACGTGGTGGAGGGACTGTGTGCCCGCCGCCCTCCTGGAGCCCCGCGGCATTGCATCACCAGCGCCGCGGAGGGCGGGGCGAGGTGCCACGTGGGCGGGGCGAGGTGCCACGTGGGCGTGGCGCGGCACGTGGGCGAGGGGTGTGAATCGCGGGCGGCACGCGGCCGCGGCGCAAACCTAACCTGGGCGCGCCACGTGGGAGCGCGGCCCGCGCCACGAGGAGAGGCCGCGCGGGCCGCGCCGGGCAGAAGCGCGGCAGCACGGCCGGTTCAGCGATCAGCGCGCGGCAATATCATCATCACCGCCCGCCACGAGCCGCAATCGTAGCCCGCGCGATCCGATCAGTGATTAAACTGCTCTCTAATTGAGATTACAACAAAGCAAAGTGTGGAGTGAGTGGCGCGCCCAGGCGGGGGGCGGCGTGGCGCCACCAGACCATTGTCACGCCACGCCGCCGCCGCGCCACTCCGCAGGGGGGGTCACAGCGGCAGGGGCGGGGCGGGGCGGCCGCGGCACCCAGCGCACGCAACAGGTGCCGCTCGAGTGCCTTGCCTGGCGGGCCTGGCCCGGGCCCTGGGCCCTGGGTCTGCTTGGGAAGGGCGGGCGCACCAAGTGTCTTTCCCGTTGCCAGCAACGTGACGCGAGGGACAAGGAGAGGACTTCAGTTGTTCAACGAGGGTTTTAACGACTGCTAGGACACTCGCCACCAAAGGCTTGTCCCTCTCCCTCCCTATGCGAATTCGAGCGACCACGCCGAAGGACTCTCTGACGCCCGCACGCCCGCGCCCGGCCGCCACCGCGCGCCTCTGGTGCGGCGTGGCGTGGCATGGCGTGGCGCTACTGCAGCCACGTGTGGCCGCGATAAAGCCCGTCCCGGCGAGAGGTTATCATCAGAACCGCAACGATCGACAGAAATTGGGAATCTGTCGCGAGGCGCGCGAGTGCGGGGGAGGGGGGGGGGAGAGGGTGTTGAATGAAACTCTAGTATCGCTGCGGTCTCGCCTCGCCTCACAGCAGGGGAGGCGTGGGGGAGGTTATCAGAGGCGGTGACCGTCGTTATCAGCTCCTCACTGCTCCCCTGCGCCGCGCCATCGTCCTGCCCGACTGACTATGGCGGGAGGACGGGGAGAGAGGACACCGTCGGGTTCGGGTCGGTCGCGCCACGTTTCGTCATGGCGTCGTCGGGCGAGGCCGACCAGGGGTGTCAGTTGTCAGTCCTTCTGCGACACGGCCCCGCAGCTATTCATCTCGAGGCGGCAACCCCTTCGGCAGGGTGCCGCTGCACAACCCTTCCTCCCCGGGGGGTAGTGCGGCGGGCCGTCAAGGGCCTGTCGAGCGGCCGCCTGCGGTGAAAGCACCAAGAGAAAGCAAACCATCTATTAGGGGGGCCTCCTCGCCTCCGTCTCCGCCGGGACTGACGGCGCGCCGGCGCGCAACCCCTCCGGACTTGAAATATTGTTGCGAATGTTTCGACTCCCCTGGTCTCCCGCAGGACGAGGCGCGCGACCTCAAGAGGACACCCTCGCTGCGCCCCCAGCGCACACACAACACACCGCCCATCCCATGCAAACGAAACGTGTCGTCCGCGGGATGACCTCAACTCCCCCCCCCCCTCTCTTTTACCCCCCACACATGGCAACGTGTGTGGGAAAAGAGCGGATGAGTTAACGGTGGAAGGGGGTGGGGGCGGGGGCTCTATTGATCTCCCCCCTACCTCCCCTGCGGCAACGGCACGAGGCGGCGCTGCCCCCTCCTGGGGGGGTTGGGGGGTGGA